ATAGCTGAAAGCTTTTTATTGGATTGACAGCCAAAAGTATCCCTTGTTAACCGCACGTCCATAGCCTTTTAGATAGAGAGACAGACAGTCAGTCAGTGAGACAGAGTCAGGAGAGCTAAAAGCTGTTATTAGGCTGATTGCAAAGATGAATCAATCAAATGTATCTTGTATGAGGCTTGAGTACATTCCTGTTGAGATGAATACCATATGAAGTTAGACAGTGAGTGAGAAAGACCATAAGAGACAGGAGAGCTGAAAGCTCTTATCAGAACGATGACTAAACACAAATAACCAATCACATCATTTATGGACCTTGAGTCCAGAGCTGTTTAGGCTGGCAAGTCAGACAGCCAGTCCGACAGGCGAGCTGAAAGCTGTTATTAGGACCCATCTGTAATTTGTGGCTGGAGGCTGTGATGATGAGCCACCAGTCCACAGCTTACCTGACTAATTACACTGGCTACCTCAGGCTGACATGCTCCGTGCCTATGTTCATAATCAAAGTGAAATTAAACTATTAACTGAATTAATGGCGCAGTTTTGTATGTTGTGTCAGCTCACACGAGAGAGCATAAGGTGTGTGCCTTTAGTGTATTTTATTTTGTGCCTCTGTGCACATTTTACACAATGAGGAGAGATTTATGAGGGGGACACTCAACACAAAAGCAAGTGGGACAATGCAGAGAGCGGGAGAGGGAGATAAACAGAGAAGTAAAACCGAGCATGAAGTAAACATCACAAATGATGCATGGTGCATGTGAGGAAATGCATCGGCTCACCAAACCATATTTATTCATTGATTGATTTATTGATTGATTGATATGATTATCCACTGGTGCTACCAGCACTACTGCTGTTACCACATACATTTTACATATCCAGGGATTTGTTTCTTGTAAATTTCTCTACAACAAAGTGCCAGCTCTACACCCTGTCTATGACTGTGGCCTTTTGGAACAGCTGTAAACACTTTCGACGTCACACAAAATAGTTCTTTTGGAGCAAACTCCTGCCTTAAAATCTACTACTACTACTTCATTCTGCAATAGCAAATTTGGACCACTAATCTAGTTAGTTAGTTAGTTAGTTGTATCCCATATCTTGACAAATTAGCCTTTGTCTCTTTTGAATGTAGTTTACTGTTGCTCCTCATTATTCCATTGTTAAACTTGAATTGTTTTCTTTAAAATTCGAAATGGGCTTGTGTTAAATATGTGACTACACTGCCCAAGGTTATTTCTGTCTGTGGACTTGAATTATTATAACACCGTACTGCATATAACGTAGGCTAGCTGACGTAGAAATATGTGATGTGTTTTATGTGCAATTGCTGTAGGGAGCTTTCATATTGTATTGTTTAATCAGTGCGCTTATGCATAATTATTGTGTGTGAACGTGGCGTTAGATGGTGTTGAGACTTATCTGAGGTGGAATCTGTAATCATTGTGAGGCGGTTGCCAATTGGCCACAGCGAGCTTTGGCAGTCAAGATAAGAGCGTCTGTATTTGCATGTGTTCAGCTCTAGTCTGAAACTGGCATCAAAAAGTGGTAGTGCCATATTGTCATGTATCAATAATATATGCAATTTCAGTGCAAATAGCAAGAAAACTAGACACCTAGAACATGCTTTGCCCACACACACATGCACACAAACGTACACACATACACACACACAAGCACACACTTCCCAAAGTCTATTATAATTCAAACACCGACTGAATTTCTAACATCAGATTTTGTAGATGTATCACCCGATTAATATCAAAAAAATTAAACAATAACCATTATGCAGTGTAAAAAACTTTTCAGTTTAACTCTAAAAACATGGCCAACATCAAGCTCACACTGAAATGAGAAAACATCAATCATCAAATATCATGCAAACCTCGCTAAAGATCAGAGCTTTAAAAAAAGGCTTTCATGGAGAGAAACGAACCTTTAATGACAACTAGCTGAATACGCTCTCAACACATCAAATATATACAGCAATATAGTGTCGTGAGTTTTATTTCAATACATTAGGCATGTTGTTTGTTTTGCATTTATACATGGAATTAAACAGAACTGATAGACAAAAAGGAGCCAAATATGTATAGGGATAAATGTGTATTGTGTGTAAATGTGTTCGTCAAACTATACCAGGTATATACATACAGTTTTCATATTGTAGGTGTACATATGGGTTTTTATTAATTATATGAAGCTAGTGTCTATAGCCCATTCATCTAATTGTGTGAACAAGTCTTGAACATTTGTGCAGTGTCTATTGATTGATGCAGAGTGTGCGCCATACAAGCTGTCCACATAACTTTTTGAGACACTTGAGTATGTGCAATGTCTGAATGGATTTCATCAGGTTATTGCCTGGCAAAATTAGTGTAAAAAAGCACAGGCACAGTCAATTTCACAGTGGTTTTGTGTGGAGACATATATACCTCTTAACATTCCTGTAAAATTCATGCAAGACGCAAGTTCAAGGCATATCCAAAGTAAATTGAATGTAGTTCTTGAACCATTTAGAGTATATGCAAGGTTTTGGGCTTCTCTGGAAGATAACACTCTGCAGTGTCTAACCCCAGACTCACACAGGCGGCGTGTGCGCCGAGTTACGGCTGCGCCACGGTTTTGAACCGTCCTCAGCCCTGCCTCAACTCACACTGGTAGCGTTTCAGCAGTGGAGCGTTTAGCCTGCCCCACATTGTTAATTGAAATTTTGTTGATTTAGTAAGTTGTCCTTGATTTTTGTGCTTCTACCGTGGTTAAGAAGGCTACATAGTTAAACTGTTTCTTTTTTTGGTCTGTTTTAACTGTATTTATTGTTGCTATACGATCGGGAGTCGGCACAAGGTATTTTATTTTGAAAATCGACCGGATTGTCTTTGCTGTTTCTGTGTCTGACTTCCTGCCCGGCTCATCTGCTCGGTGCTGCTTGACGCGTCTTCCGTGAAAAAATAGATTCTTCGCGCAGCGGAGCGGAGAGCTGCTTCTGGGACGCGCTGCGGTGCTTCAGGTGTGAGCGGGGGTGGGCCGTTGGAATGTTTAGAACATGTTAGGCCTACATATATGAAAATTGTTAACCAAGGTGATTTTGCTCTTGATGGTGTGAACTGTGGATAGCCTCTAGGTAGAATTCACAATTTTCACATCAAGGACAACATATTATTGTTACCTGCTCCTACGTTTCACACAAGCACCACCAATCTGATTGTTTGGCTTTAATCACCTGTTGTGTAAATAGACATTAGCGGCTATGTAATATGCAGCCCCCCCCCCCCCCCCCCCCCCATGCATTTGCATATGATTGCTTAATTAAATAAGACTGTCCATCTATGGACGCACTTCTAAATGTCCTGCACTAAGTGAATGGAATCAGGCCTGTTCATGCACACTACCCATTGAGCTAGAATGATTCAAAGCACATTATATCTGTCATGCTTTACAAAGCGCCCATCGCTTTAAACGGAGTGGAAAGATAATATAGTGAAGCCTATCACACGCCCCGTTGAAAATAATTAATCCAGCACATATGCGTTAGATAACAGATGAGAGAGGCAATGCACAATAAGCCATGTGCAGCACTCACTTGTTGTTTAGCAAATTTGTTACCTGACTCTGTATGAGTGGGTGGTGTGTGTCTTTGTATACATGCACAGAGGCTGGGGTGTGTATGAACTTGCACCTGAGCACTCATTTGGATATTAGTGTGTGTGTGTTTCTGTGTCTGTGTTCACATCTAGAATGTGTTTGTGTGTGTGTGTGTGTGTGTGTGTGTGTGTAACCCATGTGTAGTCACACATAATCTGTGTTTGTCACTGCTTGTGTTGTGTGTGTGTATGCTTTGTGTGTGTGTATGTGTGTGTGTATTCTGTGCGTCCATAACTTGTTTTTGTCCCTCGCGCTTGTGCAGTGGTTTGTGTTTGTGTTTGTGATCAGCCCGTCCCGGGAGTCTCTGGACTCTCCAAAATAGAGCACATACAGTTGTGACATATTAGAAATTCGGTCTCGACTCGCGTAAGCAGACAACAAAACAATGAATATCTATCAATAACAAATAGCAAAACAGAGAGGGGTGGGGGGCATGAGAGAGGGAGAGTGTGAAAAGGAAGGAAGCGGGGGAAAAAGAGGATTTTTCCATTTCAACGGATCAACGACTTTCCAATTTTAACACAATTCTCATTTGGAATTCAGACCGGAATGCTGCAAGATATTAATTTGGGGAAATCAACAGAGAAATTGGGTCACCTGTGAGCTATTCATTTCATGCCGCGAAAACAAATAAGCAAATTAAAAGAGAGAGGGAGAGAAGTGAAGGGAAAGAGAATACAAAGAAAATTATGTAATTGCAGAGATAAAATGAAAGGGGGAAGGAGAACAGATGGAAAAGTTGGTGAAGAATGTGAGTAGGATGATTATGCAGACTGATATACACAGTAGAAGTACAGGGTAAGAGAAGTGGGCAGAGTCGGGGGCAGAGAACAAGAGAGAGAGAGAGATAGTGAGATGTTTGATTGAGTTTGGAACTTGGAAATGGCAAATATGGGGTTTGTATTCATTGCATATATCCACCGAATGTAAACTAATGTGGACAACGTGTGGCCCAATCAGACTCTAAAGAGGAGAGCAGTGGTCAGGGCCACAGTTGCATTTAGCTCGTTTAGGTTGAGCGATAATTGCCTTTTTGCACACATACACACAGAGAGACACATGGTTGCCAGACACTCTTTTAGACAGGATGCTGTTTTGAATAGATTATGCAAATGAAATGCAGAGTGTGTCAGACTGACACAAGAGAGGGAGTCAAGTGTGAACGATGAAGGTTGATGCAGGTTAATGTAGTATTGACTGGTGCCCAGAGGGGCGAGGGCAAGGGCCACAGGGAAGACATGTGTGAGTATAGAAAGTGAAGGTATATCAGTATACATGGATTTGTTTGAGTTTGAGTGCGAGAAATATACACTTTACTGTTGTCTTAATCTTCCTCTCTCTTACTTTCTCTTTAGGACAGTCCATTGATCCTCCAGTCAGACAGAAATGTGACTGTCAATGCTAGGAATGATCAGGGACAACTGACTGGTCAGCTAACCGTGGGTAAGACACACACACACACACACACACACACATGTCCTGCATGTACTATATTAGCAAGTAAACTTTTTTCAAAACAACCTCCAAACCAGATAATTTCTCCAAGTTATATTGCTTTGTTTGTGCTTGAATTCCTAAATGCATTTTACCTCCTTCTGTTTACCAAACTAAATGCTATCTGTTTCCATTAGTGTATCTCACTGAGGCCGACAGCCGTGCTGTTTTCTCAACTAAATCATTTTTCCATGCTCTTACTGGATTAGTGAGTGCCCAGTGTCTTACAGAAGACGTCACTCACAGGATATATGACACATATAATGTGCAGCACGTCCTTATACCAGAATAGGTTGTTTGCCAGTGACTACCATAACTACATGACCGTCAGGTGTACTGGGCCTTCTGGGCCTGTACCTCTGTATTTTTGGGGAGCACTATCTGATAATATGAGAACATGCATGAAAAGATTGTTAACAAATCAGATATTGTAAAATGTGCATGTGGAAATCTTTGATGCAGGTTAAGTGAAGAATATCTGGGTGTACAGTGTAGCTTTAAAGATTCTTCTCTGTCATGTCATGTTTATCTTTCTACAGTCGACGAGTAGAGAGAGATCAGGGTCAGTTTGATGTGTTAAAATCTCTTGGCTCTGCTTATAGCTTATAGTAGCAGTGTTTTTGACAGCATTCAGGGTTTTGGTGAATGAGAGAGGAAAAAAATAATGTGGAGTGTCAGAAAAAAAGAGCTGATGCAACAGTTTGTTATTGATTTTGGTTAGTTATTGGAAAGTTGAGCAGCTTTGTGAAAAAGAAACAATGGTTGTAATTTGGATTTAATGTGCTCAATGTGGTTTCAAGTTTTTCTGTCTGTTAACATTTTTTTTGTAAGTTGTCATAGTAAGCATCACAGTGTACAGGTTCTATGGCCGTGCGCCATTTGTGCTTCAGTCCTTGACAACCAGATGAGCTATTGAGTCAGTTTTAATGGACAGAACATTAAATCACTGGTAATACAGTCAAGGGTGCCAGTATAACCAGTAAGAGTCCAAAGATTGATGAGCAGTTGCTCAGTGAGAAAGGTGACGGTCGAGGCATCAATATTTTGACTTATAGAGTGGTCATTCAAAAAAGGTGGACCTGAAGAGATACTTAAGCCGAGGATGAGAAGCCATTCAGTTTGTAGGGTGATGAACCAAATTTAATGTATCAATTAATAAGGCCTTAAGTGGGAGCTATACATTATTCACTTGAATATAAAAATTACAAATTGCAGTATTGTCAGTTTGTGTCACCAGTTCTGACAGATGTGTGTGTGTGTGTATATATATATATATATAGTTCTGATGTATTTTTGCAAGACACTGGGCCCTCACTAATAGACTAAGGGCTAGTGACAGAGGTACCAGGATTATGATGGCAATGGTTAGAGTTCAGAGCAAATTAAATACGAAATGTTGTTAGCTGTGGACTTTTGTTCCTGTCTTTTGGGGATTTAATATAGTCTCTTTTCAAATCTCTGCATTGCAAAAGTTCATTAGCCACTGGTCAGCACTAAAAAGGCTTGTGAAAAAGTCAAAGAGAGAACGCAAAGATTTTTTAGGCTATCAAGTGTCACCTTGTGGACATTGTAGTAGTCCTGCTGCAATTTAATTATCTCCCTCAGAATATGGCTGGGCTTGTTCAATTTATCTTCTACATTAAACATTATGTATATGTAGTTTGGGAAAGGGACAGAAGTAAGTGTTGTCAGTTGACCATTGACAATTTTTACCAGCTTAATGTGTTCTTATTAACTTTTTCATACTATACGCACTTTTACTTGATGATGATGCGATTAACTTGATGCCTTCAAGGAAAACAGATACTGTAATGTTAGCCACAAATAAAAGATCCTCACAGTTTGTGTGACTTTTAAAGGACAAATCCGACATGATTAATTCCTGCTGCTTAGCTGCTTTTTATCTTGCTCATAAGTGCTTGCCACATAACTGCCCAGTCCTTTAATTATGTCATGAGGTATTTGCAGACTTTCATTATGTTTTGTGTCATCTTAATGTTGGCCTATAGTGAATTACAAGAACGTTACCCTAATCCACGACATTTTTGTCCCCTAGAAACAAATTAAGTAGTTAGTTGTCCTTCTCTTATGTCAGTGATTAGGTCTGTTTAGTTTGGATAGAACTGCTGTTGAGATCTGGCTGCTTTTTGATGCTTTCAGAAACAGTTTCAGATTCAGCATGTGATTTGACAAAGTACTGTAACAACACTGAAACTGTATTTCACCCCTTCACTACTTTCTCATGAAAATCATACACCAGTTAAGAATTAATGATTTGCTTCCCACCTTACATCTTGAAGATGCTGGAAAGAAGCATCTCCAAGATGTACATTTTTTATTAGTGGATTTGAATCACAAATAGATCACAGCAGTACAACAAATCCATCATTGTGGATGACATCCTATATCTAAAGAACATCTTATTTTATCCCATCTTCTCTTCTCTTCTCTTATTCCCTGGACCTGACTTGTTGGTTTTGGATGTTTCAGAGACTGAAGATCATTGCCTAGTAGCATTTATAACCAGACAGGTGAGGTGAATGGTATTCTCAGGTAGAAAGCTCCTCTCCACTGTCTTTCTCACTGATGTGATCACAGCATATAGATATTCATCTCCTGTAGGCTGGCCAGGTACTTGTAGTGTCTTTAAACACACACACAGTCTTATCCTTTCTGACACTTGGAAGGTTAGAAATCCCTAACAGCTCACCTCATGCTGTTAAAAGCCCCTAAAGCTGCTTTCCTCAACAAGAAAAGGTCTTTAATGCTTATGTGTATCTGAGTGAGTGTCTGCGTGTCTACCTTGCAGTCAGCAGAATCAGTCTGTTTTAAAACTCAACGGCCAGACAACTGCCAACTTAGTCAAGCAGCTAGAGGATGACATGAAAAGAGTTGTATGACCTAACTTGCACAGTCAGACACCCAGTTGTCATGCATAGAGTCACTAGAGGCACTAATGTGCACAGAAACACAAAATACACACAAATCCTTAAGGCTGAATTCCACCGGCAACACGGCAGCATCACGTTCTGGCTGTGATGCTGTTGCTGAAGCTGATCGCGGCCATTCTAGACAAAGCTTTTGATTCCACCAGATGTGTGATGTGTGTTTCAGAAGTGTCCCGGAAGTGGATCTCTGCTCTGCTCTGCTCTGCTCTGCTCTGCTCTGCTCTGCTCTGCTCTGCTCTGCTCTGCAGAGAATACATGACCAGTCTATTTTTCACAGAAGCCGCAAGCTGCACAGTGCAGATCCAACCAGGCAGGAAGTCAGACACAGAAATGGCATAGAGAATCCGGTCAGTTTTCAATATAAAACATCCTGTGCAGATTCCCAATCAACAATACACACAAAACAGGCAAAAAAGAAACCATTTAAATACGTAGCCTTCTCACCCATGGCAAAAGTGCAAAAATCAAGGAAAGATGACAAAATCAACTAAATCCGAGCAAGTCAACAAAATCAGGCTGGCAAAACGCTTCGCTTTTGAAAAGCTCCCTGTGGGGTATAAAGCTGTACAGAGAACGGAAGAAAAACAGGTCGCAGACTGGTGGATTCCAGGGGTTATATGCTCACATTTTCACACACCCACACAGCAGCTACAACTTTGGGCTAAGATTCCCCAGACACAGGAAAACCTGCCAAGCCAGTAGGAGTTCCATCAATAACCACTTTGTGACAAACAAACACACACACACACACACACACTCCAAAGACCTCGCCGGCTGGCTGATGAGATGGAATGGGACAGAAGGAATGCCCCTGAGGAGTTTCTTCTATTGGGCTTGGGAAATCCCTTGGTCGCCTCCTGTTGACTCTGTGCTGATTCAGCAGCACATTTAACACACCCACAAACAAAAGCACACACTCTCTCCTCCTCTCTCTTTCTTCATTATCCTCATGGGGATACTCAGAAATCTGAAAGTAAGACAGCTACTTCTCCACACCAGACACTTGCCACATAGAAAGCAGAAAAGTTCCTCAACAGTTCATCTCTGGAACTTACAAGAGGAACAGCTCGCTCTAGCTTGTACAAGAGCTACAGGATCCTCACGGTCAATGGTATGGAAAGGTGAGATTCTCACAAACGTTTGGACTAGCACATTAACACTGAATACCAAGACACATGTGTGCTGACACCTTATTACATATGGTTAAAATATATTAATTTGAGCTGCATAGAAACAGAGGGGAGGAAGGAGAGAAGGGTGCCAGTGCTGTGGTAAAATCACTGCATCTGCAGACACCTGTCAAGATGCTATCTTAAAGTTTTTTTATGAGGTCAGTATGATTTATTGATCAATATAAATTATTAGACAGAGGTCAAGAAAATGTCTGCTTGGAGAGAACATTGGTTCTAATTGCGATTTTAATAGATTTTCTTTTGTTGGGTACTTGACATTTTCTTTTGTACTGTATGTCAGCATCAAGAGGTAACTGATGGATGCTGAACTTTTAGTACTTTCATTACTCCAACTTGTTTATATTGTGGAACCTATGCGGTAACACACTAAAGGATAGCAAGTTTGCCAGAAAACAGGGATCGAATTTTAATCTTTTTGCCTTCAATGGTGTCGATAAAAATATTTAGGGAGTGCTCACAACTTGCCATAACCAATTGAACGGCATAAAACAGACAGAATAACACAGACTCCACATTTACCTAGGGTCCAGCTGAAGACCCATCTTTCGATAGAGAGGGTCTGAGTACATGTGTTGGCCTTGGGCTTCCCATCTCAGTTTACTGCTCTCTCTCTCTTCTGTCTTTCTTTTATCCCTTCTCTTCCTCCTCGTTGCTGTCAGCTCGTTAATGTGAGTGAGAACCTGTCATCTTTGTCTTCTGAATGGCTGACCATAAAAATGATGAGTGACTTTGGAGTTCTGAAGCCATACCCTTTCACCCGCCTAGGTGATGATGTCTCTCCATTAGAGGACAACAGAGCATGCAGTGG